TTTTTTTTTTTTTAAATTGGGTTGAGTAGAATTCGCTCACGCCCACTGTCACGGCCAGATGTGATTTGGCACATGGGATGAACACATGGGCGGGGTTGGCATTGAGTAACTGAAAACTCTCAAAGTGGCAAATCATTTGGCCTAAAAAGAGCCCAGATGCAGTGTAAAACTCAGACAAAGATAGTTTCGCAGAATCCCTGGTGTCTACCTGTCTCCCCCAAATAACTTCAGTCTCCCTTCATCTTCCTCATGGCTGGCATTGAGAATTCAAATCAGGAGAACAAGACTCCCGATTCTTATGAAGTTTTTTGGAAATAAAGAGGGACACTGATAGAGGCTGGCCCACAGGGGGAGAAGATGGGAATTGATTGACAAAGCGAGTGGCGGCACCAGAATGGAAATTCAATCCCCTTGAATGAACCTGAATGGAGGAGGAGTCGGCGCATGAATAGGGCCGCTTTAAGACAGGCGACGGAGAAAACAAGCCCTCCCTTGTCCTGTCTGCTTGATTTCCTGAAGCAGACATCCTCCCTCCTTTATTTCTTATTCAACACGATCCACTCCGTGCAGCTTCCACTTTTTCTTCGCCGTCTCCTCTCGTCTTTGCTAATCCACTCTGCAAGAAAAAAAACAAAAAAACAAAAAAACTGTAATCTGCAAACAGCACAAGATGGCCATTATTTACAACATACCGCCGGGCTGTTTTGTGAAACGCATATCAAATCTGGCTGTGTCATGTAAACGGCAGGGGAAGAAAAAAATAAACCAAAACAGCAAACACAGAATCGATGAGTCAATATTCACAGCAGCATGCTTGATCGAGTCTGCTGTTTTGTCCTCAAACAGGCTCCTTTCAAAAATGAAAATGAAGAAAATTGGAAACTTAGCTTGTATTTTCTTATTATTTTTGTATATATATATAAATGTGTGTTGTGCGTTGATCATTAGGTTTGTAAGGTTGATTGCATGGAACTCTCCCGTTTTTAATGTCCTGGAAGTATTTTTCACTCAAATATTTCTTGTCCTGCCACTATACTGATAATATAAATGACACAAAAACACGCTAACCTCCAGCGCAGGTTGTTTGTACACTTGAGCATGTTTGTAAGTGACAATTAACAATGTAAGTGATGCTAATCCCCTTTGTATTTTCCCTTCGTCAGGACTATTTTATTGCTGCGATGAAACTGGACAATTTTGCATGTCGCCATAAGACTTGGCGCCTCACCTTTGATGACGGGTTGTTTTTGGGACTCCACTTATACTGGAGGAAAAGTGTCAACCATAGCCGCAGTATTTTCATCATACTTGCTTTGACCTTTGACACGCATGCGCTTTGTCAGCTGGAAAATAAATTTTCACATTCTCTCTCTCTCTCTCTCTCTCTCTCTCTCTCGCTCTCTCGCTCTCTCTCTCTCTCTCTCTCTCTCTGTCTCTGTCTCTGTCTCTCTCTCTCTCTCTCTCCCTCTCCCTCTCCCTATTCCATCCTGCAGCTGCCCAATTCTATTAAGCTTTGATCTGTATTTATGAATATGGTTCTCAAAGTTAGATGGCCTCCATCTAGTTCTCCTGCAGGTCCGCAAATGATTTGTTCGTCCTTTGGATGGCATTGAAAGGCCCCGCCTACATCTGACAACAGTCCTCAAAGGAGCAGGGAGAGCACTATTTGGAAGCCAATGTGGCATACTTACTGCAGGATGTGTGCCCTTGGTGTATCGCTGCTTCTCGATGTGAAAATAATGGTCAGAGATATCTATTTAACACACCGTTTGGACTCACTGCGTATATTATTATTACAACGGTCGACACGGAATTGGGTGAACATCTTATTTCCAGAGGCGGGTTTCGTCAGCCCGGTGGGTCCTTCAGTGCCAGCGCTCTCGCGACCCTGATAAGGATAAGCGAGACAGAGAATAAATGTTTGAGAGAAATGAATTTAGTCTTGTCATATTTGAGAGGCTTCCATGATACTCCAAAACGCCCCTCCTCCCGCATAAGTGTAATAATGTTGCCTTGCTTTTTTTGTTTTACTTTCCCGAGATTTTTAAACAATCTCCTTGACAACCAATGATGAAGGAAACCCTCTAAGAAAACTTATAAAACCACATGGAATTGGTATTTTATTGTCATTCTATATTTTAAAATAGCTTGGTTATCTACCAATGCTAGGTTGGAGTTAAAAGTGTGTTGCTATTCGCCAAAAACAAGACTAACGGACCCATGGAGTTTGCTCAAGGCTCGCTAGAGATCATTTAGCAATTTCAGTGTGTCTGTTGCCATTAATCGAGGCTAATTATAAACACAGATAACTCCAATTATTACTGTATTTCGCCTAATGCTAACATGACTATTGCTAGCTTTGAAGGAACCACGTTACCCGTAATACACTCTCATCCACGCCCCAATATTTTTTCCCGTATATTTTTTTCATGGGTTTTTATAGTATGCTTCCTTACTGTGTGTGTAAAACGATGTGAAATAAATCTGTGTTCTCGATTTATCGCAAATATCCACCCATTGCAGTGATCTTGGAACGTGTCCCTTGCGATAAACAAGTTTGTTGTCCCCCCGCACCCCCCCACCTTATTTCCCATTTGGTTTTAATCTTAAAAATACAAACAAATCCTGTCTCACTGGCCAGCTAGCTCCAAACCATTTGATATTAGCGGCTCTATTAACTAAATCGGCGTCCGTTTTACCTGCCAGTAAAGCAAGGTTTAAGGAGTCACGCTGTACAACTATCTGCAGAAAACGCGGCATGGGATGAACACCATTTCATGGCGGCGGGTGGCATAAAGATCTTAATGTGCCGACGGAATCGTGTCTGTGGAAATAAGATGGAGGATTTATTCTCATCCTGTGACCAAATGAATGTAAATGTACTCACAGCAGGAGGGTTTGAGGATTCGAGAGAGAAATGACGCGCTAGGTAGCAAAAATTTCAAAGCCTGCGGGTGGACCACGGTACGGCTTGCAAATCCGTCATCACTTACAGACTGCATTGTCGTTGTCCAAACCATGGAAACTGGTCTGATCGGTATGTGCCCCTCAAATGGAAGAATGTGAGGACTTTGACTGCATTGCCACTTTGGTTTGGCGATGTCGGATTACGCCACGGAAGGCTTCGCAGTCTGACTCATTATCGGTGATCTCTCTCTTGAGCAAGTCTCATCTCATTGGTCTCATCGTTATTTATTCCACTCATTTTTTTTCAAAAGGTTCACAGAGCTGAGATCACAGTTTTATCCCCTGGGCGATTGCTTTTAGTTTATGATATCTATGGTGATACCAGTCTTGGAACTCATATTTGACATCTTGTATTTCTTCAATACGATCTTGGTCAATGAACTAGAATTGACTCCACAGAATACTGGAGGCCTTTATATTTCTTACATCTGAAAAGAAATCTCAATAAAAGCCAATATTGGTCACTAGAAAATGCAATTTTGTCGTCTTTTGCGGCGCGGTAGGAGTAGTATCGTATGTGAAGAACCTGAATTACTTCATGATGTACAATAAATCCAATAATGGCCTTTACAACCATTTTACTCCTCACGAAGAATATTGCTAGTATTGCTAGCATCATTGTTTTGTTTTATCCACTTGTGAGGAAAAGGGAAGTTACGCATTTTTAAACAGTAGTACGAGTCATCTCAAGAGTGATGCGCAAGCTCGTTTTAAGTGCGCCAGTGATATTTAACGTTAGGTATCGAGTTGTCCATCATCTATTTAGCGGGCCCATTACATTTAGTCTGCTCTTTTACAATGTTATTGTCTAATAAAGCGTGAAATAGGAAAGATTTCACACAGTCACACTCGATAGCGCTCCGTTGGCCATCTCCCCCCCTCCCCGCGGCCAAGGGGCACGGCTCTTTCAACGCAATTCCAATTTTTTTCTGTAATTTCTTTTATCGTTAACTAAGCGGCTTAATTTAACTTGCGACGGAATATGAATGCAAAAGTCCGCACAATGAGAATGTGTCGTATTTTAATGTTCCGAGAAGCAAGATTTTGTTCATGTTGTTCTCATGGATTTTTTTTTTTTTTTGGTGAGTTGAGGACAGGCCTGACGATTTTGTCGTAAATAATTTATAGAATGCATGCTTATGTTTGGTATTATGAGTTGTTGGCATGTTGAGAACAATCATAGAGTCATGGAGGCTGTCTTGAGCGGTTTCCTTGCTGCTCGGTGAACATTTCGTATTTTTCCACGCAACCCGTCAGTGGTGATTGAAACGCCATTGACGGTACGCCCTGAGATGGATCAGATAAATGTCTGAACCGAAGGACCCGAGTGTGGAAGCGTTCTTATTTTTCTTAGAGCCCCTTGGGCAATTAACCTCATCGAGTATATGGCTGAAATTGTCATCTAACGACTGTCTTTCTCTTCACACTCCCTCCCCTTCTTTCCTTTTTTCTTTTCTCTCCCATCAGGTCTCCACATAATGGAGCGAGAATGAACAGAGAGCGGCTGAAAAAAAAGCATGAACTGGAGGTTTATTGAGGTCATCTGCTTCCTGTTTATATGGGACCATATAACAGTCCAGTCTTCCCGCCAGGACCCATTGGCCACTGAGCAACATGTTGCCAAGCAGTATGACTGGCTCATCTCCGACCGCGGACCGTTCCACCACTCACGCAGTTATCTGTCCTTTGTGGATAGATTCCGCCAAGGATTCACGACCAGATATAAAATTTATAGGTGAGTGTTCGCTGACGCCGCGCACTATTTTCGGATGGCACTCGCAAAAAGCTGCATGTACATTTTTAACCTACCAACGATGCATTTTTTATTGTCGCGTGTTGTCGCTCCTCATTAGATATTGATGAGGCTGTTGCTTGCTTACTTTGAATGCGAAACAAAAAAAAAAAAACCCTTATTTTATTATTATTATTTTTTTTGACGAGCAGAATAACAATTTGGCAAGTCGCTCGACTTTACCGCGCCGAAACACCCTCCATAAATAGAGGGCATTTATAGCTGTAGTTTTATAGCCCTTAAGTCCAAAAGCTCCTTGTCGCATTTCATTGCGTAGCCTCTTATGCAACCCACTCACACCCACATCCACATGCTGGTGATGATGGCAAGGTGCAAAGCAGCTCGTCAGGAACTCTTCAGGCTTCCAAGTCTTGCACAAGGACACTTGGACTGTGTGGCAGGAGGCATAACTTTGCAATTGCCAAACGGTCGCGCTGACCTCCAAAGCCGACCAGCCCTTGTGAAAGAAACAACAGATGCTTTCATATCCATGTTGCAACAATGATCAGAGATGAGCGTTCGCACCAATGCGCTCACACTCACACCTATGGACAATTTAGAGTGTTCTATTAACTTGCCATCCATGTTTTGAGAATGTGGAATGAAACCAGAGTACCCGGAGAAAACCCACACAGGCACAGGGAGAAACATGCAAAGCCCATGAAAATCGATGCCCTCTCTTATAAGTTTTGAATTGTCTCGACATGCCACAAGATGTTGGCAAAGCATAACGATGTGTGAATGAAGCGCTTCAACTCACTTAACATTGTTCCGTGCCACCAAGATCCCACAACAATTGCCGTAAAACAAAACTTCAATTGCTTTGGCCAGTAAACATAAACAGCAAATAGGTGAGTTTTTATGCTAGAACCAGATAAGTGTTTCAAAAAATAATAATCAGGGAATATTTCAATTTGCAAATCCGTGAATATGCGAGGCCTCACTGACCTTCATCGAGGATTTTCTACTTCATTCATCTTTTGATTATCCTGGCATCCTCCAACTCAGAACTGCAGAAAAACCTGAGTCAGAGGATACAATGCAACTCAATCATTTCACGTTGTTTGTGACTGTTCCCCTCCCGTGTTTGTTGTATTTCGCTCCTCTCTTGGAAAGTCGCCATAGTGCCTGCCTGCTTGCTCCCCTTTGGGTTTTCGTACCCCTGCTATTGTCACATGTGACGGTAAACAATGCATTTGCATAATATGTTTCTCAACTTGAGCGGGGATTGTTTCGCCCGGGATGGGATTCTCAGAGGCGAGACTTGTGAGCCGACGTTCGACAGACAGGGTGCAGAGTGCTGCATGGCTTTATTAAAACACAGACTGTGTTTGCACGGAGGCAGACTCTGGGGGAAGTTGCTACGCCGTGGTGTCGTCTTCCCCTCCCGACAAACCATTTGTCGTTTTAAATTCAGCCATCAGCACAAAGTATGACTTCCCTGTTCACAAGTCAATGAAATGAAAACGGGTTGGATTTTCTCATCTGTCAAACCAACGTATTGTTTAATCTTGAGCTGCAAAAGGAGTAGAAGACTTATCGATTAAACTAGAAAATGTGACATGCTTTGTAATTGGCTTTGAAAGCGAAGAGATGCCGTAGCAGAGTGCCAACCACCGCCCAGGATGTGACTGCTCAAAAATAAAAAAATAAATAAAATAAACGATTTGTTTATTTGTCCTTGTGCATACGAGGATGCCATTGCTGGTTCACGGAATAAGAAGGGACTATATTATTTTATAACCTCGAATAAATTTGGAACGCCATGTTGGTTTTCATTTTTCAGTTGTTTGTTAGCCAGCGGAAATTGAAGCAAGCAGCTGGCTTGAGCACACACTCCAATCTGCTCTTACACATCCACTTGCCAGCGAGATAACCAACGGCAAGCCTCACCAATCAGAATGCTCAGGCTCTGCCCCCCGGTCATTACGGTAACTCGAGCCGGACTTGCCATTGGCCAAGCAGTCTATGGGGCTATCGGGCGGACTCACTTGCATTAGGTAATCCCCCTCACCCAATTCGCTAATGTGGGCAAAACAAGACATAGGATGCGTCTCGCACCCCGTTGCGTCGTCTGACTGCTGTGAGCAAGCGCACAGCCACCGTGGAGACAAATTGCAGTGAGCACTCTAAACCGGCCAACCCACCGGCACAAATTGACTAGTGGGCGCCGGTTGTGTGTTGGAGTAGCAGATCAGCGCATCTTCAAGCAGCCATGTGGAAGCAAAGGAGCGACATCAGCTGCTGAAGTGTTTTGTCGGAATGAAGCCTCCACCACAACGCTCACCCCTAATGCGCTTCTCCTCTAAGCACCAATGAGCACTGAACAGCTTTGTAAATTTCCTTGGAGACTCCGTCGGCCTCTGAGATTTAGAGGTGGAAATTGGTCGAATCAGATTTGCCGTGCGACAGAAAAAAAAAAAAAAAAAAACACCCGCCTTCCTCTTATTTTCTTTCTTCATTTTTTTCCCCCTTGCCGCCTCATATCACAAGCGATTAGCCCCGAGGAACAGTGCACGGACAATGCCAACCTGATCAGCGACAAACAAATCTGGCCCATCTCTCATAACATGGGCACGGCGCCTAATTCCGTAGATAAACACGGCTTGAGGTGCCAGCTTCTTGCCTCGTTCCTTGAAAAGGTCAGCGGCCGTGGGAAGGCGGGGCGCGAGAATCCACAAGGCACCAATTACTCTCTCCCCTTGCACTTAAGAGTCTCCAAAAGAAATGATGCCGACTTCTAAGTCATCATTAATGCCGTTTACCGTAATCTTGAAGATGCTGAGCACATCTGGTGAAAAGCAGGGGTTGGCACACGGTTTCACACGGTTTCTTGTGTGTGCTTCAGGGCTTTCCATCTGATCCAGGACCCCAAAAATTTGTAAATCTTTGCCAGGATAGAGGTTTTACAAAATAGTGTGGCTTTACAGGACTGCTAAAATTCTAATAATAAAAGCAATTATCACTGCAACGTTAGAAACTAATATTCAGGCTAATAGGCCTATTCCCATATATTTCCCATGACTTGTGACAAGCAGCAGCCCCACGACGGATATCTAGCATGAAGCTCATTACAGGGCATGAAAATGCCAATCAAAATCATGGAATAGAATAACTTTGAACGAGACTATAGTTGCTTATGTGCAAGCAATTTTCATTCCATAATTTGGCGTAGCGAAGATAAATACGATAAGGAGGGATTTGCAAGTGTCTGAAAGTGGTGCGGTAAAATATGCATTGGCCCAGTTTTCCATCTTAAATGAGCTTTTTCCTCCCAGTAGAATAAATTCCTCCTTCTTTACGGTATCGTTGGAAACAGTGTGCCTTTAAATAAAGTGAAAGATTGGTTGCTTTATTGGATACCTGATATCTTTTATACTTCTCCGCAGGTCATTACGCCGCCGGCATATTTAGCAGATTGGACGGGAGACGCTTCAAAAAGAGCAATCAATCAGAAGTGTGCGTTTTCATAAATATTTTTCATGTCTAAATAACATCCTCCACCTCGCGTCTTTGATTACAGTACAATGCCGAATTGAGGCCTTCAGAATGCATTAATGGCCGCCGGATTTGCATTTATATTGGATTTTGGCGTGGAGCATACGAGAACCTGAGATGGAACAAACAAAGAGCATCATATGAAACACATTGGTCGCCCGTAATGGAGTACAAGCGAGAGAATGAGTGATGCCGGTCTGAGCAAAACAGGCTGTTGCGATTGAGCTGCTAACAGAATCAAGCATCGGTACGCATGCGGTGTCGGGAGCTTGCCGTTGGGAGAGACAAATCACAGAACTATTCATCAAAAGTCAATACTAGGTAAAGTACTGTAAAATTCAGCCCGCTGAGCGCTCCTGTTTTTGGTTTAGAAGCCGCACATATTCGACATACAGTTCATGTGCTGCCTGCTCGACGGCGCACACCTTACCCGGACATTGGCGGTAGCGTGACACAGGAAGTAGACTTTCGACAAAAACGAAACAAGACTTGAGCTAAACCCAGGAGTTCTGATTGCTCTATTTGTATGCATTACTATTGTGCCTATGCTAAATTACCAGTTGTTTGATGGTTTAAAAGCCCATTGTATGTTGTCAGGAAGCGAGCGGACTTATGTTAGGCTAATGATGATGGCAGCAATGCTGTTTTGAAAGTACCCCAAATGAACATTTATGACGAATAAACATCTTGAAGCAAGAACACAGATTTGGAGAACTGCTAGTTATTTGCCAAAATAAGCACTGCATGTTCAGGAAGGGCGGAACTTCTACAAATATGTGAGAAAACAAAGCCAATAATGTTGCTGGAGGAGGAAACAAGTAGAAACGGCACAAAGTGATATGAAAGGCAGGTGCCATGGTTTGGTCAATTTATTTTTGTGTGTGTGGGGGGGGGCGGGGGGGTACTTTAAATTTATGACTAAGATTTAGATATGCTGCTGCTTGAGTTAAGTGTGTGGGGGGGGGGTGAATTATGCAATTTAATGTGTTTATTAACTAGGAGAAACAGTCAAAGGCCCAAATTCATGCCTGTGGTTTTGTGACTTTCAATTTGTCCTAATCTACAGTTATAACCTTTTACAAAGTTAGTATATATATCTAACTTCTGTTTCATTTAGTTTTACTATGTATTTAGATACAACAGTGATGTATGTTTTTCTTCATAAATCCATAACAAAAAGTAAATTTGGGTGTTTTGGGGGGGCTGGAGCGGATTATTAGCTTTTCCATTCATTTCAATGGGGAAATCTGCTTTGGTATATGAAAACCCAGTCACAGGAAAAAAAGTCCTGAAATCACGGTACTGAACTTTACTGTATGTATGTATTAATTGACAATTTTTTTAGTGTGTTTTTTTCCATGTAATGTCGAAAGGCAAACATTTTGAATGCTGAATTGTGCAACTCCACTTTGGAGCCCATGCTGTACTAAGGCATCAGCTTTGCA